TCCCTAAGTGTGGGCTGAAGGATGTGAGTGGGTAGTAAGCTGTGAGGACATGGGGGGCAGAGGGGACCAAGAGCGGTGGCTCTGGGTGAAGGGCAGACTGGTGGGTTTAAGGAACAGCAAAAAGTCCATGTGTGCAGTGCCAGGGTGATGGGGAGTGAGGTGGGAGAGGGAGCAGGGTTGTCCTGTTGGCCAAGCAGAACATTGCCTCAACCCTGTCCTGGTGACTGGCTCAAGGATAGGTGTTTGACCCCAGGGGTGCTAGTGAGCCTCAATTGTGGGACTTCTGCTGGAAATTCCAGGAAAGGGCTGCTGTCTCTTCTGTGAGGATGTAAAGGAGCAGGTCTGAGAATAAAATCAGCAGCGAGGGAAGCTGGACCAGGGGACAGAAAGATGGATGCCTGAAGACACAACTGAGTCCAGCAGCCTGAAGCCAATCTCCACCCTAATTTATTAGCCATGCAGGCCAATACATTTCCTGTTTGGCTTAAGCCAGGGTGAATTATTTTTTGTGATTTGCAACCTCAAGTCTTTGTCCAATACAGCAATATTGAAAAGTTTTATGTGTAAAGATGTGAATTGCAGAATTATTTATGGTAGCAAAATACTGGAAGCAACCTGAATGTCCCAAAATGGTTATAAAACATACATCCCATAATAGAATACTATGCATTCATTAAGACCGACGCTACAGAACTTAGGAGTAACATGAGGAAATGGATGTTTTCTGGAAAAAAGTAGAAATTCTGTATGCAGCATGATCTCACTTATGTAAATATACACTGAGTGGCCAGATTATTATGACCACCTGACGTTTGTAGGCAAATTAGCTATAAGTTCGCGCTTAAGTTGCTAGAGGGCCAGACCATTATAAATAGGGAAGCAGGTTGTTTACGACAGTAAAGTGATTTTTTTCTGAAGATATGGGTAAACAATGCGATTTAACAGCCTTTGAACGTGGGATATATTTGAACATGAGTGGCCATATTATTATGACCACCCCATCAGTACTTTGTTGGGCCACCTTTTGCCTTCAATACTGCAGCGATTCTTCCTGGCATTGACTCCACGAGATGTTGAAAGGTGATGCGAGGAATCTGACACCATGCCTGATGAATAGCACTGTCCAGTTCTGTGAGATTTGATGGTTGTGGAACCAGCTGCCTGATGGCTCTTTTAACTTCGTCCCACAAATGCTCAATTGGATTGAGATCTGGTGATTGTGGGGGCCACCTAAGTAGGGTAAAGTCTCCCTCGTGTTCTTGAAAGCACTCCTGCACAATACAAGCACCGTGGCATGGCGCATTGTCTTGTTGGAAGAAGCCATTTCCATTGGGATGTGCCATCAACATGATAGGATGAACTTGATCAGCAACGATACTTAGGTATGTTGTGCTATTCAGACGTTGTTCCACACGAATTAAAGGGCCCAAATCATGCCAGGAAAACATGCCCCAAACCATAACACTACCCCCACCAGCTTGAAGGGTTGTACTCATGCATGTGGGGTGCATGCTTTCATGCTGTTTCCACCAAATTCTCACTCTGCCATCTGCATGATGCAACTGGAAACGTGACTCATCGGACCACATGACTTTTTTCCAATGCTCGACTGTCCAATCGTTGTGTTCTTGTGCGAATTGGAGACATTTTATCTTGGTAACTGCAGACAGCAAAGGTGTTCGAACAGGCCTTTGGCTTCCATATCCCATACGATGCAGTGTACAGCTAATTTGCCCACAAACGTCAGGTGGTCATAATATTATCTGGCCACTCAGTGTATACTCATAATGCAAATGCAACAACATGTAAATTGACAGAAATCAAATGCGAATGGTGGGATTTAAAAAAAACTCTTACATTTATATTTTTTACTTTTTTCAGTCTTCCAATTTTTCTCTAGAGTGCATTTCTTTTGAATAATTATGAAAAGGAAACATTAAGCTTTTTTTAAGGTAACCAACTGGAAACAAATGACCTCTTCGATATATAAAGTGTCTTGAATCTCAAAGGTCAGAGATCACATAAGCAAGCCCCTGCTGCCCACCAGGCATAGGGGCATGTACTTGATACCATACTTGCCATCTAGCGTTTTCATTCATATGCGCCTAATGACATCTCTCTGGCTACAAAGCAGAAAGTGGTTCATTTTCAAAGTGCTGAAATTCTGAGACCACTAGGTAGCAAACTGTCTGGCTGTCTGTAATAAGCTCAGGTGTCTGTAATAAGCTCAGGACACACCCCCTGCTAGAAGCAGTTTATTTCTTGTACCCTGAAGGGCAGGCCTTACACCAATCAGCAAACTGAAGACTACAAACTATTCGTTTACCAAAGAATCGATGCTTTCCGCAAAAGCCTTTGAAGCAAGCAGGGCACTCTGTGCCAGTCGGACTGTGAGAAGGACACATGTAGGAGCCAAGAACCTGTACGGAGTCAGAGGGAGAGTACACCGGCCACCGCCACGCCAAATGACAGCACTTTAGTCTTGCATCATTTTCATAAACAATTTAAAACATCTTGGTATCCTTAGCCATGAGCTGTTTTATTCTACATGTTAATGAGCAATTTTCTGGATCATTGAATAAGGACTTAGTAAGATTTATTCTTGGGTTGGATTAGTTAGGACACTTTCAAAATTATTGCCCACTCGGTTTCTGATGAATTCTTAGGTTCTGAACAGAACTCACCAACCTCATCTGTTAGTTCAGCGGTTTTGAGTTACATAAAGACAAAAACATGGCAAGGGGTTTATAGCAGGAAAAGAATTTGTTTTTGTTTTTCAACATTCCTATAATTCAGACAGCTGAGGAAATCTTTGATCTGTAAGGCTTAGAAAGTCAAAGTCCCCTCAAGGCACTTTTCTTTTTTTTTTAATTAAGAGAGAGTAAAAACAGTATTTGTAATGGAAAATTTTGTTGCTGTTAAGGACATAATGGCTTCTACTTAGTTATAATTCATCTTGTGAATTTCAGATTTTGGCCAAGCGTTTAATCTTAGGTGCGATATAACATAACCTACTTGGAGATCGGCTTGTGTTCCTGATCATCTTAGAGCAGTGGTTCCCAACGTGGGGCACACGCCCCACAGGAGGGCAATTTGATTTTTAAGGGGGGCAATTGGAGAATGAGTTATTAAGTGAATTTTTGCATTTCTTATGGTTCTAGGGTCCTCATATACAGTATATAAATATATATTGTGACATATTTATGCATTTCAGTTCTCTATTGTTTAAACTTTATCTGCTATTTTTTCATATTATGTTATTTTTTTCAATTTCTTAGTGTTTTTTTCCTCTGTACTTCAACTGTCCTTTTGTTCTTTTATTTTTCTCTTTCGTGGATGCCATGTTCTTTGGAAGCTTGGTTATGGCCTTTTAGGCTTCCTCCACGTGAATAGGAGTTCATTTTTTGAATAGTAAGAATTATATGTCACAGGGGAGGCATCAGGATTTTAGAGATGCTTAGGTGGGATATGGTCCAAAAATGCTTGGGAACCACTGATCTAGAGCAATGGAAAACACAATGGCATTAATGCAGAATTAGTGACTAGTCACCGGAGTTCTGTCTGGGGGTGGGCGTTAAAGGGGTGGGGAAAAGGCTATCTGACAAATATGAAGAATCACAACAAAATGCATCATAAAACCCACAAATGGAGTTTTATTTTCATCCCTAGTTCCGTCAGAATGCTCAGAGTCACAAATTTGGAGAGTTTGGAGAGGGCTCAACATGCCCATATCCCTCCTGCTGCCTACTTCTGAAGTTTTATTAGGAGTCATAGAAATTTTCACACCCATTCGGTTTTTCGGAGGGTGTGAAGGGCTTTCTCCCTGAAGCACACCAGGCCTTTAAAAACAAGGTCAGGGTCACCATCTAGCCTAGCAGGTAAATACTATGTCCTCTCCTTTGGATGGATGTCTCCATTTGAAATCTTGAATCTTTTTCCTCCAACTGGGACTTTAAAGACAAGTTTGCTTCCTGGGCCTCTTGAGTTGCTGCAGAGACCAGAAAGTTCCAACTCCTTCTCAGACTCCCTTGACGCCGGGGATCAAGAATAAGGTTCTGACAATTGGATGGACTTCTGTGGGATGTGGAGTGGAAGATAGAAGTGGGTGAACACCATCTTCCTGCTGCTTGGGCTGTGGCTGCTGGAAGCAAGGCCATGGGTGTTGAGGCCATTGTGGAGTAGGTGGTGGCAGCTGGACCCCTTGTTCCAGTGCCCAGTCACTAGCTCCCAGGGCACCGCTATGAGGCAGTTATGGCTCTAACAGTGACTTCCTGACCTGACATGCTGATGCTTGGATCAAAGCTACAGTGGTTTTTACCTCAATGGCTCCAGTAGCAGCCTCCTGCCTCCCTGAACTCCAGCTTAAGGCAGAAGTTGTAGCTCCCCTGGCATGTGGGTACTGGTACTGGAGCTTGCTGGAATGTTCTGGAATTTGTTGCTCAGCAGGAGTTTACCCTCTTCATTCTTTCAAAAATTCTATAAGTATTCAGTTCCTTATTATTTCATTCTGTTTAAAATACCTACTGTGGTTTCTATTTCCTGCAATGGAATTGATATGGAATACTAAATTACATATCAAACATTTACATAAAATAAAAAATGAAAGTCATCACTAAGAAAAAGGACACGGACATTAATGCAGTGAAGGCCTGGGGAGGGGGAAGGAGCAGGGTGAAGGGGAGTCAATGGGGGGGGGATATCTGCAATACTTTCAACAATAAAGATAAATTAAAAATAATAAAATATTAATTCTCAAAAAATATTTCTTGAGTAGTGTGCCACCAAAGATGCTCGGTATTTATTTTTCTTAAATTATCACTATCTTGGTAAATCATAACTACTTAATGAGTACCTTTTGGCTTAATGGATGAGGTAATTAACGCTTACCTTGTCATTTTAGACATAAATATCTATGTGAATCCATGAGAAGTTGTGTGTGTATGTAAAGAGACAAGACATAATTTGTATTTCCAACAAAACCTTAGGAAAAGACAACTTCAAACATTTCTTGTTCTTTGTTTTTATTTAACTCAAAATAGCTAATAACAAAAACATTAAAAAAATATCTCCAACACTTGACTATTCAGTTATTTTTGGTTGATGACATTGAGTAGTTCTTGCTTGTTCCTAATATGTGGGACCATATCTACCATAAACATATCTCTAAAGAGTTTGCATCAGGATTAAAACTTATATATTTATATCTTAATCAAATAACATGATTCAGTAATTAGTTTTGAATCTAAACATTCTTCTCTCCCATACAGAAGCTTATTAAAATAGTCGTAAATAATTTAGCTATTAATTAGTTTTCAATGAAATGCCCAAATAACAGCACATACATACAGGTTGCACATATGCTTATATCCTTTACTACTCAAATTATGGATGTCTGTAAGGTATACAGTGGAATCCTATCATAAACACATTTAACTTACATTAATTCAAGATATGAGGTCAGTGAAAAGGAAACAGTAAGAAAAATAACAGTAAATCCCATGGCAATACCACCTATTCAACGAATGGACGCCCTTGAGTAAACCAAGGTGAGTGCTGCCAATGCAGTGTCCCCTCAGCCAGGGTCAGTGCCCATGCTGTCTCAGGGGACAAGCATCTTGCAGGGGTAAGTGTGATGCTAGTGTTTAAAGGTATGTGTAGCCCCCAAACAAACACCAACCATTTCAATTGGTCTTCAGTGGAAGAAACAGTCCTTTCTCCCAGCACTGGAGGAAAAAATGGTCATTGTAGATGTGAACAGATTTCCAACATGATGCCTGCCCAGAGGGCTTTCAAGGATATGCTTGATACTCCATTTTTTTCTCATGTACTGACATTAGATGCTAACCCCTGGATATGACTCAAATCCACTGTCGTGTCAATTAAAAACGCCGTGATTTAAAACGTGCCCGAATACTGTCAGCAGCATTTAATTTCCAGTTTAGCGCCTTCCTCACAGTCAGCAGTGTGCGTTTCTGTGATACCCTCCTGGTGCCCGCACTATGAATGTATCTAATTCCTGGCCGAGGAAACCTCAGGATGAAAACATTAGTGTGTCACAAAATCTGAACCAGAAAGTACCGGAGTTGACCAGCCTCAGTGTGATTCAGGACAAGATTTTCAATTAGCAGACGGTCCGAGTGAGGCCAAGAGTCACGAGGTTTTGTCGCGCTGGGTGCTCCCCGGGATCTTCCCAAGCTTCGTGCTCACGGGTTTCTAAATTGGCAGCTACGTTCTAGCCTTGAACAGTTGGCCTTGACCTCAGCACAGCCCTGGTTCAGTTTCTATTTTTAAAAGCACCATTCTAATGGAAATGTCCCTGCCCTGAGTGAAGCTGGGCCTGTGAATTTCACCACTAGCTAGAGCTGCTATGTCATAGAGTTTAGGTTAATTTGGTAGATGATCGATTTCCTTGACTACAATGTTGAAAGGGGCTTTCAGCTTCTTCCGGCCCCGCAGGCTTTCTACCTGGGCTGCAGGTGAGGGTAGAAGATCCCGTGGAGAACGCCTTCAATAACCACATTAGGGAAATCTGCAAAACAGAAGGAAAACTGCTTTTCTTATGTGTGCCTGTAAAACATCATCGCGTTTTGCAGAAGTTAACAAGGGAAGGCCCACCGTGACTTGGGAATCTGCAGCGCCGTGCAGTTTGGTTTCCAACGTGCTATCCGTCATGCGGCTTCGGCCTGGCGCCGCTTCAGTGTAGCACCCGGCGCTGCAGGGATGCGTGGCCAGATTTGTAGCTTATTGATTTAAGGGATGTTCTAACGGTTAATGCTGCTGGGCCCCAGCTCTTTATCTGAATGTTTTCTCCCAAGGAAGATGGATTACACTGGCAATTCAATTTCTAACAAAATCTCAATATACTTGAAGGAATTCCAAGATTTCTACTGGGAATACTTCGCTGCAGTTTTTCCACCGTGGTTTACAGCGGCTAGCTAGTTCAAGCAGTCTTCAGTATGCTTGTTCTGTGTGCTAGCTTTTAGAGAGCAGGAAGAGGGGGGGCCTGTTGTCCAAATTTAAGGGCAAATTTCTGACAAAAGCCATCCTGTCAAACTTGAAAAACTGGCTGCATTTTTATAGGAGATACACAGGAAACCCAGAGCTGCATGGTGCGTTGTACCATGTTGCAGTTATCAGGGTGGGTAACATATGAGCGCATCACTTGAACAGGGGAACCAATCTATCACACGGCTCAGAGTCTGTTTTCTGAACTTCAATCTGCGCAGCAGTGTATCCGGGATGTATGCTGAAGCCAACCACTTGAAATAAGTACAGTTACAAGGAATTTAAGTGGTCCAATACTTGAAGACAAAAAAAATAATGCCTTCATGTATGAATCCAACGTGAAACCACTTAGGAGGTCAGCCCTCCTCGGGAGGGCAGCGAGGCTCCTGGAGGAGAGGGCTAGGAAGAGGGAGCCAAGCAGGTGGAAAGTCTGTGCGGGAGGGACAAAGGCCTAGGGAAGCGCAGGGCAGCAGGAGGAGCGGTGAGGAGGCCTGAGGACCCGAGGGCGGGGCTGGGGAGGCAATTCAAGAATAGGCTGGAATTCAGGCTTTATCTGAAAAGCAATGAGAAGCTATCCAAGGACTTTAAGCAAAGTGAGACACAACTGAATCATGTTTTGAAAAGATGACTCTGGCTGCCACTCAGAGACCGGCTTGGAGCAAGTTGAAAGTGGCGATGGATTTGATACGGCTGGTGAGGGATTTCACTATAGTAGGTTGCTGTAAGGTTGCTGTAAAAACTGATGAGTGAAACGAGGTGCTGGGACCTGGGCTTGGCACACAGTTAGTACCACTTTCACTACAATGAACCGAGCACTGGCTAATTACTTGGAATATAAGTAAATAGCAGTCCGCACCCATGCCAATGGAATCCCTGAGGGGAAGGAGTGGCACAGTTGAGGCTAACTCCTCAAGACGTCCAGTGTGGTGGAGTAGAGGGTGTGAGGGGAACGTGAGCCAGAGCCAGACCACAGAGGGCCCTGTAACCACGGTGAGAGTGTGGAGCTCATGGAGAGGGTTGGGGTGGAAATAAGTAGGGTGACGCAGCTGTCTACACAAGGTAATCAAGGCCACAAGCAAGGAGATTACTTAAAAGAATGTGTCATGAGATGAGGGAAGGGTCTATGACAGCCTTCAGGTGAAACGTGGGAAAGTCCAGGGAAGGTGATGTTTGAAGGAGGAGAAAGGGCTAAAGCTGACAAGAGGTCAAGTAAGAGGAGACTGAATAATGTCCAGAGGGCCCAGTCAGGGTGGTTCAGTGGTTGAGTGTCGACCTATGAACCAGGAGGTCATGGTTCGATTTGTGGTCAGGGCATATGCCCAGGTTGTGGGCTTGATCCCCAGTGTTGGGTGTGCAGGAGGCAACCGATTAACGATTCTCTCTCATCACTGATGTTTCTATTTCCCTCTCCCTCTCTCTTCCTCTCTGAAATCAATAAAAATATATTTTTAAAAAAGAAGAGAAAATGTCCACAGAGCTTAGCCACACTGCAGTCACTGGGAACCTCGGCAAAAGTTGTTTTAAATTTCCCAGAAAAATAGAAACAAAAGCTGAAAACATATGCTACAAGAATAACATTTGATTATTAACATTTTATAAGAGGATAATGTTAAATTGTTAGAACTTAAGGACAGACCCTCCTCTAATTTTGTGAGGGTCGGTATATCTGTTAAGGAATGTCCACATTCGTATCTATATCCTCTGGAAGAGTAACCTTAACATTAATGTGATGCAAGCACAATTTATCTTTAAATGAAATGCTAAAGATTGGCAAGATGATCATTAGTATAATATTTTTAGGAGAACAGGAATCTGGTTTATGAAATTGGATTGGCCAACATTCCACGAAAATAGGTCTCACTCGACGAACGCATTTACCAAAAAATTGCCAGACTGGGGCAGGAAAACAAGAGCATTGTGGCCAGCATCCCTTACCAGCTCATTGTTTACTCCAGACCCGGTCCCATTCTGCCCATCAAACCTGTGGACTTTACTTATTCTCAAACAAGAATCCCCTTTCTGTGCAAGTCATTCAGCCCCACCAACATTCTAGCAATGACACAACCTTCTTACTCTTTCTAACTCCAGACATTTGCCCCTTGATGTCCTTTCCCAGAAAGTTCCTCCCATTCTTTATTGTTAAGCCAGGTGCATAGTGCATGGTGTTTAATAAGCTAGTGAATTGGATTTAGGTGTTATGAAATATCTACCCTCTTCCATAAAACATCCTGGCTATTCTAGTCCACTCTCTACACTTCCACAGGAATTCCAATCAAATGCATAAAATATCTGAGTATAAACAATACCTGCAAAAAGTACTTGTGGAACCATTTTAAAAAGATAATAAGAATATATATAAAAGCCTAAGTGACCATTCAACCATTCGACTGGTAGCTATGACGCACACTGACCACCAAGTGGCAGGCGCTCTGACCGGTAGGTTAGCTTGCTGCTGAGGTCCAGCCGATCTGGACTGGGCGAGACTGGCCAGACACACCCTGGAGCCCTCCCACAGTCCCTCCCTGGGCCCTGATCATGCACCGGTGGGGGTCCCTCGGCCTGGCCTGTGCCCTTTTGCAATCCGGGACCCCTCGGAGGGGGGGTCAGAGAGCGCAGGTCAGGCCGAGGGACCCCACCGGTGCACGAATCTGTGCACGGGGCCTGTAGTACTTAATAAAATATTGCCCATTTGAATCTAGACAAGGTTACATTATGAATATTTGTTAAATATAACATTTTGTTAATATACTTCAACTACTATAATATGTGTATTTGTTAAACATGGAAAGCAAATGCTAAAGAAAGGCAATTACTGCTATGAAACCATATTCTTACACAGCAATGGCAGCTCTCTCTTGTCAGGGTGCTAGGAATGGTCCCTTGACACAGCAGGGCTGTGTCCTGGCCAGCGTTCTTTAAATGACAGCTAAGTGGGTGGTCTGAGTACATGCTCCCCTGCTACACAGAACAGTCCCCTCTCTCTTGCTTGGGATACAATTTTACTGTCATAACGTAGGAATGGTTTCAATAGATAATTTATCTATTGCTGTTTAGTTACTCTCAGAAACAAAGGCTGAAAACTCACTATATGCAAAGAACACAGAGGGAGAAATTAGGCAACAAGGGGTTCACCCATCAGCCATGTGAGACTAGGCAAGGTGGTGCCTCCCTGAGCCCTGATTGTCTCATTAGCCAATGATGACACCTGCCTGCCTTTTCCATAAGGTTGTTCAGGAAATGAAATAACATGTGAGGATGTACTCATGAAGAGGTGCACAACGAAACGCTTTGAGAGGGACCAAGAAATGTAAATTTCTTGGCACAAAGATAGGGCTCAGGCTAAAATATTGGTTACAATTATACTTAAATTATTCATTATATTTAAATATACAGCTTTAAGAAATATATATTCAGCCATTAAAGGCAGCAAATACCTTTCTCCCTTATTGCTCTAATTCAAAATGGCCTGGTAAGAGAGAAAGACAAATTATGTTTCCTTCTGAAAGGCTTGCCCCAATTAAAATTCTGAATGTCTCTTACACCAAGAGCACTGGTTTATTGGCAGATTATTAAGCCCCGGACCAATGTCACTCCCTTAGACCTGTATTAAAAACGTGGTTTATGTGGTGCAGGGTCAGATCAGTAAAGAGCTGTTAGCAGATGACAGGTTTGATTACCGCTGGCTGCAGGCAAGACGTATGGATCCCGGAGGAACAGCAGCACCGGCTGGTGGGACAGTTTGCTGGAAAGGTCAAGAACAGGCATGTCAGCATCAGGGGACGACGGTAAACAGAAAACACTACAAACTAGCTTTGAGGGGATCAAACTGCTGTGCCGGGACGTCTCAAGGTTTATGTATCTAACAGTGCGGGCGAGCAACAGCCAGCAGAGGTAGAGGGAACAGACCCGTGCGGCGCGCTTCTTCCCAACATTTTTTTGTGGAATTTGAAGCAGATAGACAACCTAGACAATAAATCATTGCTGAGAAGTGTTTTTTTTTAATCTTGTAGTAAGATTATTGGTAAGAATAACATTCTTATTATTTGCATGAAACAATGTAGGGTTCTGATTTTGTCACTCCTAGATGTCACTTCTGGACCTTCCTAGCAAATATTTATCATCTCAAAATCAATTTCCGAACAAAGGTTTTCAAGAAAATTATGACTTGAAACACTTATACCATGGTAACTAGACATTTAACAAAACCACAGTCCCTTTCTGGATTTATACTATATAACTCCTAATTGACTATTAGTTCTTACCTTGACTCTTCAGATTCTGTCTCCTCAAAAGACCTAAACATTTTTTTTAAAGAAAAGAAAAAGACCATATAAGCCAGGTCAGTGTTGATGCCAACAAAGGGAAAAAAAAATAGTCAGTATTCCTAAAGCTCTAAGTCAGGAGGCATTTTGAGAAAAGAGTCAGGTGTTTTCATGAAGTCACCTCATGGCTGATACGTCATTCTAAGGAATCTCAAGACTGCAATATTCAATTTTCCTGAAGATCACTTAATAATCCTATGGTTCTACTTCTGGATTTATAAAATGGAGAAAAGATTTCACTCATTCCCAACATCTCCTCTTAAAAATACACAACTGCCTATGAACCCCAAACCTGAGTAAGCGCATGCAAGTTGGAGCAGGATACGCTGACAAGGCCTCCTGTTTGGTGAGCAGGGGGAATAACTGAGTGGAAAGTGGCCCTGAGTAAACACTGCCGGCAAGGGAGCTTGGATGGGTATCTGGCTTAATAGGACTTAGGGTGTGGTTAGCAGGAATGTCTTGTAGGTAGTGTGGGTCCTTCAGGCAGGTCTGGAGGCAGCGAGAAAATGGATAAAGCCATCTTTCCTCTTGGAGTTTCAGAGTCTGAGGTGATGTGTTTCTTTGTAAATGGGATTAATACATCAGGGATGTTGCTGATGACCTTCGGTGACCAGCTCAACACAGGTGCCCATCAAGTTAGGCTCCCAGAGTTGGGCGAGTAGCTTAATTTTAAGTTAATTCTTCAGAAGAACTCTTCCCAGTGGCTGATGATATCAAACGCCTGGTTCCTTGGAAGATGGGGTCAGGGTCTACAGCCCCACTTGGAAGTTCCCGAGGGAGAGGCAGGGGAGTGGGGAAAGACAGCTGGAAGGCCCAGGCTCTGTCAGCTTTCGGGAGAGAGATCTCAGGAAGCCACTTAGTCCCCGGGTTTCAATTTGCTCAACTCTTAAATACAGGGAGTTGTGTAAATTGATCTTTAAGGTCATTTATAACTTTGAAATAATATATGTGCCAAGAGGATATAGATTTTGCTCAAGTGTGCACAAATAAACATATTAGTCCCCAAATAGAATATCTAGATTCACAATTTCCATCATGTACCACCGCTCCATGTAGTAGCATAATTTAAAAAGTCAGTTCCTTAAATCTAAACCTGAGTTACTGAGCACTGGTCATTGGCCACAATCTGGGGAAGAAGGCTCAGGAGAAATTCCTTTGACTACAAGCAGGGGGTGAGCGAGAGTGCTGTCCCAGGCTGCCCCTTCTGGCACCTTTGTGGGATATTTGTTAGGCCAATAAGTGATTGACGACTAATATAAAATACATGTCCAATAAGTAAACAGCAATGCTTACCCACAACTCTCTGCCTTTGGTAGAGATGGCAAGTGCCGTATGTTTAGGAAATCAAGAAACAGTTTGGGAAGTTCTTCATTTTCTAAAATGACAGCCTGTGAAAGCAGAACACAGATTTAGAAAGTAAAGTTTGCTAGGCAATCAATCAAATAAACTATTTCAAAAAGTCATAACCATCCATCAAAGTTCTTACCAGCATCATTCCTCACCATCAATAGGTGTGGTCCCCCAAGAATTTCACCTGACACGAATTCAGACCCACACACGTGCTATTCAGTGTCAGCACATGCTCCTTTTTACCCATTCGTTCACCCAAACAGCATTTATAGAGCATCTACTATTCAGATGCTAAGAGGGCAACACAGTGGGACACCAGGTAGACACAGTTCCTGCCTTCGAGGGGATTCTAATCCAGAGTGAGCATTTCACCACAATATGTACATCAGACTTTCCTTCACGAGTGATAAGGTGGTCTGGGGTGTGTGTGCGCATGCACGTGCTCACCTGTTTGCTACAAGAGACCACTACTGTTTAGGAAATACTAGACATGGCTTTTTTTTTTTTTTTTTTTTAACAGCTATCACCTGTTTCAGCAATAGGATCAACTGACATTTATTGCTATTTGGACAGCTCCACTTAAAGCGTAACAACTTTACCACTAAGTGTAAATCAGTGTATATGCTGAAAAAATACACAGAGTTGTTCCATTTATAGAGCTCTGCTAAAGAGCTGGCATAATGGCATAACCATGTCTCTTCTCAGGTACCCAAATTATGCAATTTCAAGGAGAAATTTAGTGGACAGCTGTAAAGTACATTTTCATACATATCTATGTTTAAGAGTCGGCCAGAGCGTGCCAACTGACTGCACATTTTCCGCTCCCTCCTTTTTGCAAAGATCATGGAAAAAGCATCAATGAATGAAATTAACCTCTGAAATTAATATAACTATTTTCAAGGGTCATTTTCATAATTTGCCAAGGGTCATTTTCACAATGTACCATGGCCGTTCTTCCCCCAACAAGCACATGTTGTTTAAAGAACAATGAGAATAATGGTGAAATATCATTCACACAGCTGATCAGGAACAGCTCTGCAGGGTGGTGCATACGGTACATAACAAATGACAAAAGGAAGGTCGAATTATGTGTGTCTTGTATGTGCATAATTCCATGTACTGTTTTTTGCCATAATTTACACACTGAGCTACCCCATTCCGTACAGTTCTGGAATACTGTTACCCAGTTCAGGACATATGAATGGAGTGAGCGACTACGCAGGTCACCCATCCTAGTGGTCTGACCTCTGTACCACACTAGTGCTCAACCCGAAGGGGTCATCTCGAGAGCCAGTCCTGTCTGAGGCTGTTACAGGTCCTTACACAGCCCATTGTGCCCACTGAAGCTTAAGGAATAAACAAGAGGCAAAAAAAAAAAGTACTTGGCGGTTACACTTTATTAAATAAACAAATAGCATCTATTCTATTAGGCACTGGGATATGGTAGTGTCTGCCACTCTCCAAATGTTTTCCCATCCACTCATCCACCTGCCCACCCACCCGTCCATCCATTCACCCACCCATCCTTCCATCTATCGCAAGGTGCCCCCTGCTTGTAGTCAAAGGAATTTCTCCTGAGCCTTCTTCCCCAGAGTGTGGCCAATGACCAGTGCTCACTAACTCAGGTTTAGATTTAAGGAACTGACTTAAATGTTTACTCTTTTCTTTATTATAAAAGTAGAAAAATGAAACAGTCATAAAATAGAGAAAAAATATTCCTCTATCCAGAGGCATACTTTCATTACTATTTCAGTTAATTTTCTTCAAATCATTTGACCTTCATCTGAACTTTTATCTACCTGAGGAAATTTTGGGGTATTCAAAAGGTCATGATTTCAGTGCCCAGAACTCTAGGTTCCAGGCACCATCATACAAATGAAGCTTCAAGGCATTTTTGCCATAACATGAGTTGCAGTGATTATCTACTTGTTTCTAGATATCAGGTTAAGAGAATACCATAATCTGTATTTGAATAAAAAAGCTTAATGTTGTAACAAATAAAACCCAAGCAATAGTTTTAATTATGTGTACAAGTGGCAGCTTTCAGATTAAAAAAATGGGGGGGGCTGTAACATTCTTATCTCCACCCCCACCTTTTAAAATAAATTAGATCGATAACAAGTGTGGGACACTTTTAATGACCTGAACTACTTAATTTCCAGGATCTTTAGACATGTCATCCATCACCGCAGTATGGAGGAAGACATCTCTTGAGTGTTCAGGGGGTTACTTTGGTTTTATTAATGCAAGATTTAGGGAATTTTAACAAGGTGAATTGTTTATTTGCCTTGACAGATTGGCTTACAATGCACTGGCTACATCTCCAGCATGATCATTAATGACAAAAGACAGGCAAAAAGCTGTTTACACTGCAACACCAGGACGGGAATGAATCCTGCTCAGCCTCCCCAAACAGAGGATTCCAAACAGATGATGGCATCTTTTTAGGTAATACATACTGGTTTTTAAAAAAAGGAATATAGAAATCTCCAGAAATTTGTGAGCATTTCTGTTGAATGTTCACTTGATATGCTCATATGATATTTTCCACAAAGCAATTGCCAATATGGATTTCAGGATTTACAGTTATCAACAAAGTGGCATTGAGGAGTTAGTTAAGCACTCAGTTACATGATAGAGTATTTCTTAAATTCTGCTAAGAAGGTTTGTAAGAAAATAATCCTTAAGTCCAAGCAGAGATAGAGTATAATATAGGAGAATGTACTTAATTTAATACGATATATGTAAGTGAATAACTGTCATGAATTGGTGGAGAGATGCAAAAGAGGTTCAACAAAATCTTTTGGTTAGTAAACACAAGATCGCATCCCATGAGAGACCCAACAGTGAAGTGGGGCTCACACTGTCCATTTATATCTTCAGTTTCTTCAAAAGCTTTTGCTCAAGGAGAACCACTCCTTCTAAAAGCTGCACCCCGGGGCCATCCCACATGCTTGGGACCACAGTCTGGGCTAAATCACCCAATTTTATTCAGTAGATAAGCTCTTAATTAAATATATATATATGTGTATACACACAAATATATATTTATTTAAGAGCTTATCTTAATTAAATATATATATATATATATTACATTGTCGAATATCTAATCTTATTTCCCCATTGTTTTAGCTTGCTTCTCTTTATTTGTGATTTATCTTCAATGGCCAGTCATGTTCATTCCTTAGAGAGGCAGTGTTGCATAGTAGGAAGTTTAAAAGCAAGACCTGAGTTCAAATACTTCCTCTACCTTAGAGGGTTATTGGGAGGATTGGATGATGTCTCCAAGAGTCTCTGGCACACAATTAACATTCAATAAATGCTAATTTGTTTCCTTTGACTCTTTTTGTTGTCTCAATTCCTACCAACCTATTTTATCGGGTTTGGAAGTTTGGATTATTGTCCATGTAGCAAACAGGGCTTCTTGGCCCTCAATGATTCATGGATCCCTTTGAAAACTGGATGAGAGCTAAGGATCTTGCTTGCTGAAAAGGACACATACATCTGTAATTGTGCTGACAGTGCCAGAGGTTCCCAGGCCCGACAGCCCAGCCCAGGACACCTGCTGTTAGCTCCCTTCCTCTCTGTAAAAAATCAATAAAATATTTTTTAAAAAAAGAAATTCCTGTCCAGTGTATCACTTAGGAAGTATGCAGGTATGCAGACTAAAACCCAGATTATTATTAAGGTGCACATAGGAAACGGGTTAAAACAAAAAGCTGTAACAAGTGTGTGATATACTATGTAACAGACTTTGCTTCTGCTATATCCAACTCTGATATTAAAACTGGGTAACTGAACGCACCTGGTAAGAAATATATATATATAATTCTTCACACAATGTTACTCATTTTCAGAAGAATACATGACTCTCCTTAAAATAAACAGATATTCCTTCAGGAATATCGCTCTAGAAATATGGTGGTGGGGGGAATTCCATGCTCTACAAAAAAAATTACCAAAAAATTGCCTGAGTTGGGCAAAAACAATAGCATTGCTACCAGCATCCCTTGCAAGCTCAATGTTTACGCCAGGAGAAATGTCTTTTATTGACGAGGTGCAATTATCATCATGTAACACAAATCACAAAATCCCAATTTTTCCACCTTATCAGCTTTATAAAATCATGTTCCCAAAGGATCCCATTGATTAGTTGCACATGCTCTTTCTGTGACATCCCAAATACTTAATTGTCAGTTATCTTTTCTTCTTCGGTAAGTAAAATGCACTCACAAAATTACAGAGGGACTTGTTCCGCCTTAACCTTCGTGAGGTGCCATCATGCAGCGGAAAACACCGGGAAAATATCACAGGACAAAGCCGTCCGACAAGGGAGACATATAAACACTGTAATGATTTCCCACGAGTTTCCATTTTGGAAAATTGTCACTGCGGCGAGCATACACGGTGACACATCTCCACCGAGGACGCGGGGAAATCGAACGCTGGCATTCTCGTTAGGTCCAAACCTACCCAGCAGCCAATTATAACAGGAACGGAACATCTTATTGAAAACTTGGACACGACCACTTGGCTAACCTTCCAAGATCGCTGCGCAGAGATGTGCTGTCTTCACGGATTTAATCCTTTTATTCTCCTTTCAAAAGATTTAAAAAAAAAAACACAACACAAACAAACCCACATTTCTTCCCCTTGTCTATCACGGTTTGTTATAAACAGCAGGGAAGCTCTCTGTCACAGGGAACTGAACTAAGGCGGGAGGTTTCCCTGAGTCTTGCAGGCCCTTTTCCTAGCCCATCTAGTGTGATTTGAAACGGCCGATTGCTGGGGTGACAAAGTTCATGACGGTCTTTCCTCGCCTCACCAGGAAAGATGCCTCATAGCACACCTACTTCGGAGGGGCAGCGAAGAACACGGAGGGAGAAAAATCAATACTCCTCACTGCAGTGAGTGGGCTGTGGTGTCCGCGTCCCCTGGGACCGAAACTTAGCAGCGCACAAGGCTCTGCCGTCCTCAGTCTTCACTTACCCGCGTACAGCACTTGCTCACAATTTCACAAAATGAGCTACGGTAAGGT